CTCTCCGATTGGCGGTTGGATCAGCCTCCCAGAATACTGCCAATCAGTTACCTGTTGCTGTCATTGCCGCCACCTCTCCAACTGCCTTCCCCCTTCCCCCAGCTATGGCTGATGCAATTTTTGGAATATAAGACGCACCCAGATTTTCATCCTCTTTTTTGGGGGGAAATAATGTGTCTTATACTCCAAAAAATATGGTATATTTTTATTTCAATATCTCAATAACCAAAATACATAAATATGGAGACAATGGACATCCTTGCCTTATCTCTTTTTGAATCCAACAAGACTGTAATTAGTTCTCCATTAACAATTATTTGTTCTTTCTGAGAGTATAAATAGAATTTACACATTTAATAAAATTAACTCAAATTTTAATATGTTCCAGAGCTCTAAACGAAAAATAAATCCAATTCAAATTGTCAAAAGACTTCTCTGCAGCTAAAAATATCAATACAGCTTAGTTTTCATTATTTTGCTCCAAGCATTCCAAAATATTCAAACATAGATCTTCATGAGTAAAATCCTGAGTATTATTTTCAACCTTTGAGACAAAATTGTAGAAATCAATTTTTAAATGCAGTATTCTGTAAATATTTAAAATCTTGCCCCCATTTCAATATTAATACTACATTTCTTTGAAGGAGAAAGATGATCTTGATATCTGGGCAGATTTATAGAGGAGGAAATGACTTGGCAACCAAGTCCAAATGCTTTAAGGCTTTAAAAGTTGTTACTGTGCTTTTGAGTGGAATTAGGAAGACAGTGAGGCTCACAGATAGCAGTTTTGCTCAGAAACAGTAGTGGAAGTCTATACCGTTAGTTTGGTTAAGCAAACTTTAAAATCCAACTATGGCATTAATGAAATATACTATTGAAAGTAGACAGCATTTGGTTTGCATTGCAGCAAAATGTTTTCTTTTGGGTAGTTGTATAGATGTGAATTCATTTAGTACTGTATCAATTATATGAAGATTATGTCCAATAAAGACTGAAAGATAAATTCCTATCCCATTAGAGAAATTAAGGCCATATCTTCCGGAAAAAGAACAAGAATTTAAATAGGGTTTGCTTAAATAGAGTAAGAGAATATATTTCTGTACTGCTGCTCGTGTGCATAACTATATGGAATATATATATTTGTAGCATAGTTGATTGCAATGTGATTGCCAGCATTCAGTATCTAGGACTACACAAATTATTGGAATCACTGCTACATTGGATTTACTAATGTAAAGTTGAGAGAAAATGGTATGTTCTATATAATTTTGCAAATCTTTTTGATTTTAGTGTTACTATGGTGTTTTTTCTTTCACTTTACATTAAATCAATTTATTAAATATAAACTTGATAATACAACTACTATTCTTTTTAATAAACATTTAATTTAAAGAATATATCTATTTAGACAACGTAATGTTTAATAAAACATTTTTGTTTTAACACATTTGAAGCCAAAATACCTTTAAAGTATCTCTTTTGTATTTATGAAGATATTTTTAAAGTTAATTAGTTTTCTTTAATCCTTCCTTTATTATTTCTATAAATAACTCAAGATGGCAAACATATTCAACATACTTTCCTCCTCCTATTTTGCACCCAACAAATACCCTAGGAGGTGAGTTGGGTTGAGAGAGAATAACAGTCCAAAGTTACACAGCTGGTTTTCATGCCAAAGGCAAGACTAGAAATCATAATCTCCTGATTTCTGCTTTAACCACTATACCAAACTGGCTCTTTATTTTTATATTGTTGTTGTTGTTGTTGTTATCTCTTTTATTCATTTATTCATTAAACATACATTTATTATTATTATATACTTTATTCATTAAACATGAAATTTAGTCAACTGAACATTCAAAAATGCATCACAAATACCATTGACTGGTGCTAATACTGGTTGTTGCCAGTGTCCTAGGTAACAACCAAGTACCTTCTTAAGATGTACGATGTTCCAAGTAGCACAGTTTTTTTACAGTTCCACTGGTGTTATTGCAGGAAGCTGCAATTTGTTGATGTATTTTATAAAATTCTTGGACATGGTACCAAGTGCCCCGATATCACTCTTACATGTTTCATCCATAATCACGTAGTTTCAATGGCCAGGTTGCGATATTTCATGATTTTTTCCAGTTCTTTTTCTTCGACTCTGTCATCTCCTGGTACTATGATGTCAATAAATTGTACATTCAGTTTTTGATAACTATGATATCTGGCGTGTTGTGTTCCAAATGATGATCCGTCTATATCTGAAAGTCCCACAAGATCTTCACCTTCTCATTTTCTATAACTTTTTCCACTTTATGTTCCCATGACTTTTTGGATACAGATAAATCGTATTTTTTACATAATGACCAGTGGATTAATTTAGCAACTCGGTCGTGTCTAGCTTTGTAATCAGTTTGTGTGGTTTTGCTGCATTCACGTATTAAATGCAAAACAGTTTCAATTTTGTTGTTGCAAAGTCGGCAGTTTGGATTGTTGGTGGATTTTTGTATCTTTGCTTTCATGGCATTAGTTTGTAGTGCTTGTTCTTGAGCAGCCAGTATTAAACCTTCCGTTTCTTTCTTGATGATTCCCATCTTAAGCCATGCCCGTGTAAAGTTGCCATCACGTTTTCCTTCAATGTTTTTCAAGTGCTGTTCATGCAGAGCTTTGGTTTTTCCATCCATTTAATCTGTCATCCAGTTGTTTTTCTTTATATTCTACCTTTGTTTCTGTTGCTTTTATAATGTTCTCTATTTTCACAGCCTGCAGCAATTTTTCTGTACTTTGGTTCACATAATAATTATAATCATTATAATAATAATAATTATAATTATAATATACTATATCATACTGCACTGCACTGGACTACACTATACTATACTACCTTCCAAGAATCATGCTTTGGGTTAATGTGAAATGGAAGCTTTCAAATTAAATTTCATAGGCAAGACAAATGTCTTTTTTATCCCTTTGTGTGTGTTTATATGTATATTTTGTGTTCGTATATGTATGTATGTGGATATGTATAATATATGTATATGTGTGTATATTTCTCTTTTGTACTTCTGCCTTTCTTTTATAGCTCTTTCATAACTTTCTGCATTATGGAATTCTTGACATAATGGTATTTCACTAGAATGAAAAATGTTGTATCCGAAAAGCCATTGCATTGTATATTCTTTCATTTGCTCTAACATTTAGTTCTAGTGATACTCAACAATACTGATAAATTGTGGATGCATAAATAAGATAAATAAGAACACATTTCATTGATTTAAGATAATGACATAGTACTTCAAATCATAGTATGATTTTTCATTTTAATGAATGATAAATGAGATTTGGTGCTGGTGTAGAATCTGGATTCTTTCTAAATGGCTTTTTAAATGTGTTCGTCAATGGTTTTCTAAATTTTGAAATAGTATTTAAATGATTATCATGTTTCCCTGAAAATACGACCCACCCTGAAAATAAGCCCTAGTGAAGGGGGCAGGCATGGCCAGCACAGGAGGTAGCCCTTCCCTTCCCCGGTCACTTCATGGCTGCCGGGCCCCTTGATCATGGCCCATGGATCAGCTGATCCAGCGAAGGCTGGAAGTTCTGTCTCTCTGGGTGCCTGGAGAGGTTTCCAGCGCACTCTTGCTAGCCCCATCCCTTCCTATGGTGCCAGGCAACCTCATAGCCTCTCTCCTCCACAGCTCACCTTGTGGCTATGGAGCAGGCAATGAGCACGGTTTGTGCTCCGCCAGACCTGGATCTCGGATGTTGCTCAGGCTGCAGGAAAATTCCCCCCCCCCCATCTCCAGCCTGTACTCACAGGAAAATCCCCCCATCACGGTTTGATTTTGTTTGAGATGCAGGAGAAGGAGAAAGATTGGAAGCAGGCAGGGCGAGGAAAACTCTTTCAGAAAGTGATCTCCAAATGGGGGTGGATTTTCCTGCCAATCCTCCTTTCAAAGGGCAGCCTTGCAGAAGCACATCCAAACTGCTTCCTCCATGGCTTTGAAGCCTCTAACCTTGCAATCCTGCAAGGGGGACGTTTGCTCCAAAGCTACAGCAGAGCATTGCACTGGGAGGCCCTCACGGGTAAGATTGAGTTGCATGTCTTGCTCCAGTGAGAGGGATGCAGGCTGGGGGCTTGGGAGCCAGGGAAGGTGAGGTTTTGGGGTGCAAAGGAAGAAGGGGCGATCTTCCCTTCCTTCCTCGGTCCTGCTGCAGAGCCGCCATGGAGCTTGCTCAGGGCAGCGCAACTGCTGGTAAAGAGGGTCCTGGCAAGCCGGTGGCAGGGGAGGTACTCCAGAGGTTGTAGATCTGGGCTCAGTTGCCTCATGCCAGGCAGGAGCAGCCCAGGAGGGCTGCTGGGAGCAAGGCAGTCAAGAGGGCAAAGAGCCCCTGTGAGGACAGCAGTAGCAGGTGCAGCAGGCCCAGCAGCCGGGTAGAGGAGCCAATTCTGATAGGCCACATGGCTTTCTGCCTCATCGTAGCAGCAGCCCTGAGCAACACCCAAGATCCAGGCCTGGCAGAGTGCAAACTATGCTTGCCGCCTGCTCCATAGCCACAAAGTGAGCTGCGGAAGAGAGCGGCCCTCAGCTGCGAGGTTCCCTGGCACCGTGAGAAGGGATGGGGCAAGCAAGAATGCACCAGAAACATCACCAGGCACCCAGAGAGACAGAACTCCCAGCTCTTGCTGGATCAGCTCATCCGCGGGCCACAATTAAGGGGCCTAGCAGCCATGAGATGACCATGCTTGCGGCCTCCTGCACCTTAAAAAAATTAAGATACCTCCAAAATGAAGCCCTAGCCATTTTCGGGGGGGGGGTGTCAAAAAAAAATAAGACCCAATCTTATTTTCGGGGGAACATGGTAGATATTCAAAGTATAATATATTTCTGTTAAAACAATAACAATTCATTAGAACTTTAAAAATTGAAATTGATTGTAAGCCAAATTGCACCATACTATATTGCAACAAGATATACAAGATGGTGGATTTATTAATATTTATTCTGAAGGCCAGAGAAGAAGAAATGACCAAAAAAGTAAATAAGTTGGAGGAACAGCTGATGCAGTTACAAGAGAATTATAAAAAAAGATTGGCACATGAAGAAAGTTGGAATGGTGATGAAGTAAGTTGGAAAACATATTGGTGTTTCTAATTTTTCACTATGTTTTTATATTTAGTTTTATTGCAGTCCCATGCAACAGTTTGCTCATTATATATTCTTTGTTTGTTAATTTGTTTGATTGCTATATTTGCTCATCTCGACAACTCTCTGGGTGAGATATATCATAAAGTGTAAAAACAAATTAAAAGCATTTAAATAATACAAACTAAATATATATAAAATCACCAAGTGTATCTATTGCCATGGATATTATTATTATTATTATTATTATTATTATTATTATTATTATTATTATTATTATTATTATTAAAATTTCTATACCGCCCTTCTCCTTTCAGACTCAGGGCGGTGAACAGCCAAAATAAAACATTTATACATAAAGTACGATTAAAAATAGATTTAAAATAATTAAATTTGGCCCATAGTTTAAAATTTATCAATTTAAAATCCATATCAAAATTTAAAATCAACCATAAAATCATAAAATCAAGAGAGACCGGCTAACTGAAAGAGATGAGTTTTTAGGGCCCGACGAAAAGTCCGGAGGTCGGAGATCACTCGTATCTCTGGGGGTAGGTTGTTCCAAAGGGTAGGTGCCACCACAGAGAAGGCTCTCCTCCTGGGGGTCGCCAGCCGGCATTGTCTAGTCGACAGCACTCTGAGGAGGCCCTCTCTGTGGGAGCGAACTGGCCGGTGGGAGGCTATTGGTGGCAGAAGGTGGTCCCGTAAGTACCCTGGCCCTAAGTCATGGAGCGCTTTAAAGGTGATCACCAACACCTTGAAGCGCACCCGGAAGTCCACCGGAAGCCAATGCAGCTCGCGCAGGAGAGGAGTCACATGGGAGCGCCCCGTCGCTCCCATAATCCCCCGCGCAGCCGCATTCTGCACCAGTTGGAGCCTCCGGGTGTACCCCAAGGGAAGCCCCATGTAGAGAGTGTTACAATAGTCCAGACGAGAGATGACAAGTGCTTGAGTGACTGTGCGTAGGGAGTCCTGATCCAGAAAGGGGCGCAACTGGCATATCAGGCGAACCTGATAAAAAGCCCCCCTGGCCATGGCTGTCATATGCCCTTCTAAAGACAGCCGTGCGTCCAGGAGGACGCCCAAGTTGCGGGCCCTTTCTGTGGGGGCCAGTGATTCGCCCCCAATAACCAGCGATGGCATCAGCTGGCTATACCGGGACGCCGGCAGCCACAGCCACTCAGTCTTGGAAGGGTTGAGTCGAAGCCTGTTTCTCCCCATCCAGACCCGCACGGCCTCCAGGTACTGGGACATCACTTCCAAGGCATCGTTGGGATGGTCTGGGGTGGAGGTGTACAGCTGAGTATCATCAGTGTACTGATGGAACTCCACCCCAAAACCACGGATGATCTCACCCAGTGGCTTCACATAAATGTTGAACAGGAGGGGCGAGAGGACCGACCCTTGTGGCACCCCACAAACAAGGCGCCTCGGGGTCGACCGCTGCCCCCCTGTCAACACGGATTGCGACCGGTCGGAGAGATAGGAGGAGAACCACCGCAAAACGGTGCCCCCCCACTCCCAGTCCCTCCAGCCAGCGCAACATGATACCATGGTCGATGGTATCAAAAGGCACTGAGAGGTCTAACAGGACCAGGATAGAGGAATAACCCCTATCCCGAGCCCTCCAGAGATCATCCACCAACGCGACCAATGCCGTTTCCGTGCTGTACCCAGGTCTGAAGCCGGACTGGAGCGGATCCAAATAGACAGCTTCATCCAGGTACTGTGGAAGCTGTCGCGCCACCACACTCTCAACAACCTTTGCAATAAAGCGAAGGTTGGAGACTGGACGATAGTTAGCCAAAACAGCCGGATCCAGGGATGGCTTCTTGAGGAGAGGCCTCACCACTGCCTCTTTCAAGACGGCCGGCAGGACACCCTCACTCAAAGAAGCGTTGATAATTCCCTGGAGCCAGCCTCGTGTAACCTCCTGGGAAGCCAGCACCAACCAGGAGGGACACGGGTCCAATAAACATGTGGTGGCGTTCAGTCGTCCCAAGATCCTGTCCACGTCCTCGGGAGCCCCAGGATCGAACTCCTCCCAGATAACACTCTCAAGGCCTGCCTCAGTCATCTCGTCTGAACTAACCTAGTCAGCGGCCAAGTCTTCCCGAATCTGAGTTATTTTATCATCCAGATACTGTACAAAATTCTCAGCTCGGCCCTGCAAAGGGTCCTCCCGCGCTCCCAGATGGAGAAGGGAGCAGGTCACCCTGAACAGGGCGGCTGGGCGGTTATCTGATGATGCGATAAGAGCGGCAAAATAGCTAGATTTTGCCGCTTTTATCGCCACTAGGTAGGTCTTACTATGAGACCTTACCAGTGTCAAGTCGGATTCGGAACGGCTGGCCCTCCAACCGCTCTCTGGGCGTCTTTTCCGGCGCTTCATCTCTCTCAGCTCCTCGGAGAACCAAGGAGCTAAGTGAGTTCGGTGCCGGGTCAGAGGCTGCAAAGGCATGACCCGGTCCAAAGCCCCGGCAGCCGCACTATCCCAGGCGGCCACCAGGTCATCAGCCGAGTCGTGAGCTAGAGTTTCAGGAAATGGCCCAAGCTCCATCTGGAACCTATCAGGATCCATCAGGCGCCTGGGGCGGAACCACCTGGTTGGCTCCGCCTCCCTGCGATGGGGTGCGGCGGTCAGAAAGTCAAGTCGAAGGAGCGAGTGGTCAGACCATGACAAGGGTTCAGTATCTATATCCCCTATATCAAGGCCACTCAACCACTGATCAGAGACAAAAACTAAGTCCAGAGTGTGTCCCCCCCATGTGAGTAGGGCCGTGAATTACTTGGGTCAGGTCCATGGCCGTCATGGAAGCCATGAACTCCCGAGCTACCTCAGAAGTTTCACCAATGGATGGCAGGTTGAAATCCCCCATGACCACAAGTCTGGGGGTATCAGCCGCCACCTCAGCTATAACATTGAGGAGTTCGGGCAGGGTCGTCGCCACGTGGCAGGGAGCCAGGTGATCAACAGACCCATCTGCACCCCACGACCCCACTTCACGAAAAGGGACTCACATCCGGCTATCTGAGGCACAGTGGTCTCCCTCGGATCAAGACTCTCTCTTATAATGACTGCCACCCCCCCGCCCCTGCCCTGAGCTCTCGGCTGATGAAATGCATGGAAGCCTGATGGGCACATCTCCACGAGGGGAACCCCCCCCTCATGGCCCAACCAGGTCTCCGTGATACCTGCCAGGTCCGCTCCCCCCTCCTGAATAAGATCACAAATGAGGGGGGCTTTATTTACTACGGACCTGGCATTACACAACATCAGCCGGAGACTCGGGCCCTGAGACTCTAATCAGCCTGAGGAACGGGAAGAGCTAAGGGGACCGGGGCACGCAATCGCTCGGAGATAGCGAGCACGTGCCCCCACCACATGATACGCCCCCCCCTGTTTCCGCCATACCTGCCCCTCCCACTCAGCATATTGATGGAGAAGCCCTCAGTAGAGGGCATTCTAACAGTCCCCTTTCCCCCAGAGTCCGTACCCACTATGGCACCATTAACAGCCGGACTGGCCATCTCCCATGGGTTCTCCCCCAAATCGACACAACCCCCCCACCCCTTATTTACACTAAGCCCCTCCACACCCGGCTCCACACCTCCCAGTTCGTGCCCCTGTGCCAAGCCTGACCTATCACCCTCCCTCCCCACCCCCCTCCCCAACCCCCTTAAAAATTTACACAAAGACAATTTTAAAAAACCCCTCAGCCCTGTCTTTGCGGCATGCCACCTCTCGGGATTCCAAAATCCATCATCGAGGTAGGCCCTCGATAACGTGAAGGGCCAAGCCTGCGAGAGGGGGGAATTTCACAGACCAAGACGCTCCGCTGCTGTGTACATCTTGCCGCAGGGATGGGGTGACCATCCCCTAAAGGGTCCATACAGAAAAGTCCGAGGGAGAACATAAAAAGACAGGAGCCACAAAAGGATTCAAGACCCAGTCCGCTGTTCTCTCACAACAGAGGCCAAGTCTGTCTCCAGGTCGACACAGTCCAATACAACCAAGAAATGGTTTAGTACACTTAGATGCCCAGGTCTGTGCATACAACCAAATTCATGGCCTTACAAAAAGGTCAACAGGGTAGATCATACTGATGTTTGAAGGAGAATGTTCCAGGAGGCAGGTGCTACAGAGAAGGCGCATCTCCTAGTTCCTGCCAGCCAATATTTTTTAGCTGGTGGTACCCGTAACATACCTAACCTGCCGGATTGAGTTGGATGGGTGGAAATAACTGGAAGGAGATGCTCCCTTGGGTATTCCAGCCCAAATCAATGAAGGACTTTAAAGGTGATAACCAGCTCTTGAATTGCATCTAAAAGTACAGTGCTCACATAGCAGTGATATTACATGTGTTGAAACAGAATTGACGCTGTATTGACACTGCCTCATTTAGCTGTAATCATTATACTATTATTTGTCATTCTTGACACAGTGATAATAAAACAGGTGAGGAACTTCACTTCTATTTTGAATCAGTGTAAGTTACAGCATTCTTTTTTCTTTTTTAAATTAGTTTAATTGTCAAATTTTAGCAAAATAGTTTTTATATATTGTTTCAATATCTCAGAAACAACTAGCCTTAGATGCCTGGTGTTATATGCAGGAAGTGCTAGAGTTTGAAGATTAACTTATTTGATTTAGTTTTCCTTTAAATGGATGAGAACAGTTACTCAAATCTTAAATCCAATTAATTTTATGCCTACTAACTTGTACCCGGTATGGATATTAACACTCCCTCATTCTTGTTCTTCCAAGTAATAATAAACAGCTTCATCCATTACACTACAGCTTCATCTATTACAAAATAACTTTATGCTAAGACAAAAAGAGCAGTATCTCATCCTTTATTATTATAGCATTGTGTTTTTTCTGAGACAAAATGGAAGTCAGAATTTACATCCTGACCACTCACATCATTACAAGAAAATCTTGCATGTTTTAACAGGTTTTAAGGATATGTTTTATAGATATGAGAGAAAGTTAATTTTCAGATATGGCACTGAAATATTTTTTAGATTTTAGCAAGAAATTGCAGATGAAATATTATATTATTGTGTAGAGCACAGTTGTATTAAACAATTTCTGTTGTATTAAACAGAAAAAATGTTTTAATAAATTTTGTCCTTTTGTATTCCTTAGGAAAAAATAGCAGAACTTCAGGTAAGAATGACTTCACAAATACATCATTTTTAATGTAGCAATGTCAGTGAAGCATTTTCCTCTAAGGCTTACAATAATAAAAAATAACAGGAAGATTAAATTTTGCTGTTAAAACTTTCATGTGGCTGTTTTGCTGAAGAGTGTGTATGTATTGTATTTCAGACTCAGTTAGCCCAAAAGACAACACTGGTTAATGATTCAAAGTTGAAAGAACAGGAGTTCAGAGAACAGGTAAAAAACTACTCTCGGGAGAAATTCAGTTTTAGCTCTAAAATTCATATACATTTGTAAGGATAATTTCAAAATAAAGTTTGATCAAATGCTACATAATGCTAATTGTTTTCTCACCCCTACCTCTTTCTGTTGCTTTCCTGTGTAGCTTTCAAATTCTACCTATTAACTCCATTAAACTAAAGTTCAGATCACAAATGTTCATGTTTCAATTATGAATTCTACTTAGGAAAAAAGAAAACACTTCCCCCCCAAAATTACACTTCACTGCTTTTAATTAAATATGTGAAACCGACTTAATGAAGTTATGCTTCCATTAATGCTTGTATAAATTAGCGCAAGTAATGCACATTGGCATGATATCAGATTTGAAAGGCATGTGTGTGTGTATGTGTGTGCATGTGTGTGTCTGCCTTTCAAATACATATATAAAAATAGTGAATATTATATATATATATAAAATACCCACTATTTTAACATTAAGGAATACTGCTGTGGTTGTTTTTAAGGTTTCCGCTATTTCGTAACTTATTCTTATTCTAAACCAAGATCATTAATCTTGGTTACTGATTATTGTACTTCCTGACTCACTCTATTTTTAGATTCACACACTACAAGATAAGTTGAAAAATTATGAGAAGGCTGTATATGTCACAACAGTTAAAACACCTTATAGAGGTGAGTAATTGTCTTGACACTGAAAAATAGAATATAAAAGTTAAGGAAATATTTGGAAGTGTAATTTAAATTGCAATTCTATGCAAGTTATCTGGGAATTAAACTGAGAATAAATGATTGGAGTATTGTTAAAACAATAGATAGTTTATGTAGCAGGTAATTTATATGTAGATTTTCTGTTTCAATAGGAGAAAGTCATTTAAACATTTTTAATAATAGGAATACAAATATTTGTAGCCCTTTTGACCAGTAATTTTACAGTAGGCTTTTTATAGAATCCCCAAAATATGTATATACCAAAAGATATTAAAGAAACTTAGTAACTTACATTTAGTGATTTAAACAATTTGTAGAAATATTGCAAATAGTTATGTTGCCATAGATTTCTGAAGAATGTGAATATATATATAAATCTGTGCTCTGTAAGAGCAGAAACCTACTTTCATTGCTATTTTGTATGCAGTTAATGTATGTGTATTCCTTATTTGAGAAAATATTGGGGTTGTTACTAACACATGTGTTTGTTTATTAAATTTCTATGCTGCCCATTTCTCCTACAAGGTGACTCTGGGTGGCTTATAAATTATAGAAACAAGTGAAAAGATTACTATGAGCCAACATTAATATTTTATTAAAAACTGCACTAAACCCTGGCCTTCAAGAGCCAAGAGACGGATGGGACCTCCAATGGGGAGTGTCCCCATCAGGTTCCAGGCCAACCAGCAAAGCCAGATTTTTATACTCTTCAAGAAGGCCAAATGGAGGGGGCAATTATTACCTCCTGTGGAATAATATTCTAGAGGAATGGGGTCACAGCAGAAAAAGTTATTTGATCCCACCTGCTTCAATTCCTTAGCTGACGAGATCTGTAGTAGATCTCTTCTGCTGGCATGAGTGAAGCAAGCTTGTCCCATCAGGGAGAGATGGCTCCTCAGATACCCTGGATCTATGCCATCCATGTATGGCTTTAAAGATAATGACCAGCATCTTGAATTGGATCTGGAAGCAAACTGGCAATTAGTGCAGCTGGTGCAGTAATGATATTATATGTGCAGCTCTAGAAGCTTCCAGGTCTGTGTGCACAGCTGCATTCTTCACCAGCTGCAGATTCCAAATATTCTTCAAGAGTAGCCCCATGTAGGGCATGTTGCAATAATCCAGCCAAGAAATTACTGGGGCATGAGTGACCATGTGCAGGCCCCAGGATCCAGGTAAGAGCACAACTGGTGCACAACACAAAGTTATGCAAAGGCCTCCGAGCCAGGGGTGAAATCTAAATTTTTTTGCTACCGGTTCTGTGGGCGTGGCTTAATTAGTGGGTGGGGCTTGGTGGTAAGGTGACTGGGAGGGCATGGCTTGTTGGTCAGGTGGGCGTGCCCAAGTCAATGTCACTTCTTTGCCCTTTTTTAACCTACAAAACACAACACAACACAACTGGCTCACCCACAATATAAAAACAGCTGTGCTAGACCCAAAATGGCCCCTGCAATAAGCAGGAACCTCACACAGCCACAAAAAGCCCAAAAAACCAACTTTCACACTTTACACACACAAAATTCCACATACAGCTTTGTGAGATTTTGTCTGTTTGTGTAGTTAGAGTGAAACACTACAGAAACACACTAAATCTCAGAAAGCTGCACAAATATTATTTTATTTTAATTTATTTTTATATAAAAGCAGCTAAATTTAAAACTTCCTAAGCTTTAAATGGCTAGGTCTAAAACAAGAACAACTAAAAAAAATCCCAATTAACTATTTTTTTAAACCTCCCAAAGGAGAAAAAAAACTTACCCAATAGAACAGGGGTCTCCAACCTTGGCAACTTTAAGACTTATAGACTTCAACTCCCAGAATTCCTCAGCCAGCTTGCTTTGCTGGCTGAGGAATTCTGGGAGTTGAAGTCCACAACTCCCTGACTGCTTGATTGCAGGCAGAGAGATTCAGTTGCTTGCTGATGCAATGGATTGCAGGGATTACAGCAAGGTGTTGCGACCAGCAGCTAAGGTAAGCAAACTGAGTGGGGGAGGGAGAGGGATTTTTGCTACCAATTAGCAGGCAACTCAGCTGGGATCGTCAGAGCCATTTAAAAGGAAAAAAAGGCTCTGATGATCGCGCGGCTCAGCTGGGCATGGGGGGTGGGGACAGGGATTTTTGCTACCAGTTCTCTGAACTGCCCACCACCATCGCTACCTACTCGCCCAAGCCGGTCTGAACCGGGAGTATTTCACCCCTGCTCCGAGCCATGATTAACATCTGCTCTTTAAGCGGGTGGAGCCACAAGATCTGTCTGGAGTAGTCTCATGCTGAATTGATGATGATAAACCACCAGATCCAGATGTCCTGTGCACCCACAGCCATTCCATCTTATTGGGGTTCAACTGAAGCCTGTTGTTCCCCATCCAGACCCTTAGAGCTTCCAGGCACTAAGAAAGGGCAGTCACAGCATTGCTTAGATCACCAGGGATGGAGATGTAGAACTGTGTACCATCAGAATACTGATCATATCTCATTCCAGGATGCCAAATGATCTCACCCAGCAATTTCATGTAGATGTTAAAAAAGAGCAGAGAAAGTACTGTGCCCTGTGGCACCCCAGAAAGGAATGGTGAAAGGCTGGACATCTTGCTCCCTACTAATACTGATTGGATTACATAACAGAATGGTTTCTGCCATTTAAATGTCATGTACTTAAATAACATAAATTAATATATATTTTAATATTACAGATTTCATGGTATTAAATGTGTATGTGTACTTTAATATTAAATTATGACTTCAATTTTATCTTTGTTGGAAAATTAATATATTAATTCAAAAAGAATTTAATTAATTTTAAAATTAATGTAATATGAACGTGCCTAATAAAATGAGAGCCTTAGAAGCATTAGAACAGTATCAGAAATAAAATATTTTCTTTACTACTACACAACATTTCATAATATAATTCCCATAGTTACGAGATTAGATAAAATTGAAATGAGGCTCTTTTCAAACAATCTCTGTTAAAAAGCATGGATAATAAATTTGCCTCTGTGATAGCATGGCAAAGAATAGACGTAGAAAGCTTGTATGGGGAGTCTGCCTGATTCCTTAATTTTATACAGAAGAAATTAGCAGTTAATTATGAAGAACCTGTTTTGTTTGCTGTCCCTCCCAAACTTTCAGGCCTGATATAGGCCTTATATCTAAGGCCTTTTAACATTCCTCTAATATTTAAAGTAAGCTCTTCTATTGATTACTTGAAATGTTTGCCAGGTGCAAAGAATATATATGAATAAATGGTTAGAATCTACCTGTTAAGAAAGAAAGTAACACAAGTGCTTTATGTGAAGATTGAAATATTCTGTGGATGCTTACCACAAGAATAAAGGTAGTAAATTAGGGGTCTATGACAATTAGCCATGGCCAACTTGTCCCAGCCATCTCGCTACAGGACAACTCATTGTGCGACAACAGTTACACTAATACCAAAGAAATGGTAGAATAGAATCATTAAAGAAAAGATGCAAAAGGAAAGACAGAATGAAATGTAAATGGCACAAATTAAAATATTTATTTATTTTATTTATTATTTATTATTTGGATTTATATGCCGTCCTATCTCCGAAAGGACTCAGGGTGGCTCACAACAATAAAACACACAAAGTTCAATTGTTTAAAAAAATACCCAATAAAACTATAAAAACCATTAAAATCCCCTCTAAAACCCCTTCAGTCCAAGCCGGCCAGGCGAAATAGCCATGTTTTAAGGCCACGGCGGAAAGAGCGAAGGTCAGGGGCCACCCGGAGCCCCAGGAGGAGCTGATTCCACAGGGTAGGTGCGCCCACAGAGAAGGCCCGCTCCCTAGGGGTCGCCAGCCGACATTGTCTGGCTGACAGCACCCTAAGGAGGCCCTCCCTGTGGGAATGCACCGGGCAATGGGGAGCTGTCGCTGGCCGCAGATAGTCTGCCAAATAACCCGGGCCTAAGCCATGTAGGGCTTTATAGGTGATTACCAGCACCTTGAATCTCACCCGGAGGGCAACTGGTAGCCAATGCAGGTCCTGCAGGAGGGGTGTAACATGAGAGTGTCGGGACACTCCCATCACTACCCGCGTGGCCGCATTCTGCACCAGCTAAAATTTTAAAATAAATTTTATTTATTTTAAAAAATTAAATAGAATTGTTAAATAGTCACACAGGTTGTTGTCCTGTGGCAAATTGGCTATGGCGAGTTGTTCTGCAGTGAGTTGGCTGCAGCAAGTTGGCTATGGCAAGTTGTTCCATTCCCATAAATTAGAGCCTTCCTCGATTCAAAACTACAAATTCAAAATATTTTGTAAAAAAATTACCAAAGTAATTTCTGTAATTTCTTAATAGGTTTGTAGTAACAGATATCAGTTTAAAGTCCAACTTTTCTTCTATGCAGATGGGAATCTTTGTCATTCAGATGTGTCTGTTTTTGGTGAACCAACTGAGTTTGAGTACTTGAGGAAGGTGATTTTCGAATATATGATGGGCCGTGAAACAAAGGTATGCTTCATATTTAAGAGCACCTGAGTAATGATGTCAATAGTGATAATGGTTAGATAATGGTTGCAATATTATGATGCCATCACAAGAGGAGCCCAAAAATGACATATTTGGGTAGAGGAAGGATGATGGGCAGAATGAACTTTCAAACAAGCCTTAGGAAGGAGATACATGTTCTATCCAATGGTTTCTGAGAAGATATCATTGGCAAAATTATCTTATTTATTTAAGCAGTCTACAACATTAATGTATTAATTACTATATAAAACACTTACAAAAGCTGTAAAAATAAGCAGTTAAGATAGCACAGTCTTAAATCTTGGCCCGGTAGCAAACTAGTAGTCATAGCAATTCCCTCAAGTGAGGCAATAAGTACAGTGCAGTGGCATTTGCAAGAAACTACAGTGATATCAAACTGACATAGGTGGTGGTATCCCACAAATGCTGAATTACATATTTATATCACAAAATAAACCATGGTATGTGCATGAGGTATGAAGTATGCAAGTCACTGTATTTGTGCAATATCATGAGATATGTGTGATCATTCCTCACCCCAGCCTATATGCAGATAGCTTTGGACAGACGCTATAAGCCTGTGATAGCGAACCTATGGCACGCGTGCTGGAAGTGGCACGCAGAGCCATCTTTCTGGGCACGCGGAACCATCGCCTGTTGCTCTTCCAGGTTCCGGCATGGCAGCCAGGTAGCATTCATGTGCACCTGAGTGCCCAAAACCGGAAGATCAGCTGCCCATTGCGCATGCGCGGTCCAGGAAGATGATCTTCCTGTTTCAGGAATGTGCATGTGCATCGGCCACTTGGTTTCTGGTGCCCATGCGCATACAATGACTGGCAATGGCCGGCGCGCTGTCTCCGGCGCTCCTCCTATGCAGTTCTGCTGCCCCAGAAGAGCAGCAACAGCAGCAACTGCAGGGGGAAATGCAAGAGCGACTGGCCTGCTTGGGCACTCAGGGGAGTAGGGCTGCACTTTTGGTCTGCAAGGCGTGGCCAAGAGGAAGAGGAGGAGGTGGCACCGCCGCCGTGTAATGTAAGAGTGCCTGGTGGGGTTGGGAGCCAGGCTGACGGGCAAGCCAGCTTGCAGTCCCCGAGAGGGACTGGGCGGCAAGCCCACACATTGGCGCTCACGTGTTGGGCAGCAGATTGTGTCTCCACTGATGTAGCAGGGCAAAAGCGTGCAGCCCCCACTTGGATGTTGCTGGGCTGCACTTTTGGCTTGCAAGGTGCGGCCAGGAAGAGGCACCGCTGCTGCCATGTAAGGTAAAAGCACCAAGGCTGAGAGGACAAAGTTGGAAGAAGCAGTCTTGGGGGGTCTTTACTGCCACCGCTGCTGCCGTGAAACATATGGGCATCTCCCCAGTTGCCTCACTGTGGGTGTCAGACGAGAGGCGGGCAGCAGCCAAAGACGCGTGTGTGAGCGATCAGGGAGCTCCTCTCCTGTCACAAGGATGTTGGGAGGGTTGGAAGTATGTACTTCCCCACTCCTATGGTGGGGGAATTGATGAGCCAAATGTTTTTCCAAGGGAAAAGACGGGAGGGCTAGAGGGGGAGCAGGAAACTGATCCAAACTCTCTCCCTTCTCCCTTCTTTCTCCCAACCCCACCAACCACTCTTAGTTTACCTCTAGTGAGGCAGGATAAACACTTGGAGCTGGATCAGTTCACAAAACCCAGTTTTAGCCAATGGCTCAGATCAGCAACTTCGCTTGAGGAGGGGAAAGGATCGAAGGAAGAAATCTGGAGCTCTGGCAGTTTGTTACTCTGTTAAACATTTTTCCAAACTCGAAAGCAACTCAAGGGCAGGCTTCGAAAATCTTTTCAAAATTATCTCAACTGTTCGCAGGCAGCCCACTCTTAAGAGAATGACCAAGCCTTCCAGGGGACGTGATGTTCACACCAGAAGCGTGTCCTCTTTAAATAAGCAAACGTTATCCCTTCTTCCAGACCCCCCTGCATACTCTTTGCTTGAGGAGGGGAAAAACATTTAACAGAGTAATAGACTGCCAGAGCTCCAACTTTCTTCCCTTGATCCTAGTGAAGCAGGATAAACGTTCAGGGCTGGATCGGTTCACACAACCCAGTTTCAGCCAATGGCTCAGAGCAGCTGCTTCACTTGAGGAGGAGGGGAAAGGATTGAGGGAAGAAAGCCAGAGCTGGTCAGGGCAAAGGATCGGTGCGGCGCGAACTCCATGGTGCTGATCAAGTTTCTTGAAACTCCGCGGCTTTGTTTAGCCGCTTCCAGCCCCGGAGAGGCAGGAGGAACAGAGGGGCTTCCTTCGGAGGCGAGGAGAGGGTGTGCGACCCCCTCACTGCAACGAAATGTGAGCCCCGAGGATTCGGAGAGCAAGAAGAAGGCCGCGTATAAGTGGCCCCAAAGCCAATGATGCTGCGGTTTTGACCGGCACGGGGAGGCAGGACAGAACGTGAAAGGAGAAGAAAGGAGAAGAAGAAGAAAGAGAGACTGATTTGAGAATTGCAGGGCTGTACAGCGACTGGAGAGAACAGCGGCAGCCCAGATAGGAAAGAGAAGGAAGTTTTTATTTACAAAGTCTTTGGCGATCTCACTGCTGAGAAATTGGAGAGAAACGGAAGGGCAAGTGAATTGGACTAAATATCAGTGACTTTTGGAGTGAGTGAAAACTTCTAGCTGAGATAAGGACTCAGCTAAAACTCAGTGGATTAAGGAACAATATATAGAGATTATTACTATAAAACCAAGGATGATTTGTGGGTGAATATCTATTCTCCGAACCCCCCCTTCCCCACTAGGAACTTACCGTGACAGTGAGCCCTTTTCCTGTTTATAATAATTAGTTGGACAAACGGAAACAAGAGCGGGGATTAAAGAAGCTCTCCTTTTTTCTTTGAAGACTTAATCAACTCTTAGTACAAGTGTATATATTAATCATGATCCAATAGTTTGAGCATTTAATTATTTACTTAGATTTATTTATTACTTAACATAAATTGATATAATAATTTGCATATATAGTCATATAGATTTTACTTGTGTATCGTGATAGGAATGAAATAAGGGAGAAAGTGGACTGATTGTGTATATCTAAACAGACTTCATAATAATATTTAATATTTAATAATAATAATACATAATAATAGTAGTGTATGATAATTTGGAAAAGTTTTCTTTGTCTAGCAAACATGTCAACCACAGTAACCTCCACCAAAATAATTAAAAAGCACATACCCTCTACAGCGGCATCCTCACCAACCACAACGCCTCCAGGTCTAAGAAAATCAGCTGAAAATTTACCAACAGCAGAGAAACCAATCACAATGCAAGGAATGCAGACAATGTTCCAAAATATTCAAGAGCTAATTGAAAAGAACCAAGAAGCTACATCTAAAAATTTCGAGGATCTGAAAACAGAGATGAGTGAATTACGAGGAGAGATGAAACAAATCAAAGAGACACTGGGAGAGATGAGATCAACTCTGATGAAACATGAGGAGAGATTGACTGAGGTTGAAAAAACTACGAAAAGAGTTGAAACTCAAATAGACATTTGTGAAAGGAGATGTGCCCAAGCAATCGGGAAACTCGAAGAGGAAGTAGTATTTTTAGAGATGGAGAAGTCTGCTTTCTTCTTACATTTGCAAAATGTGGCGGAGGACAGAGAGGAACGGCTAGAGGAAATTGTGGGAGAAGTGATTGCTGAAGTAGTGGGGAGGAACAAGGAAGAAGTCTGTGGCGAGATAGATGAGGCCTACCGTGTTTATACCAACTACGCGAGACAGCATAATCTGCCTAGAGAAATACACATAAGACTTACCAAAAAGGCGCTTAGAGACGAAACCCTTCATAAGGCCAGGGATCAGAACATTACATATAAGGGACGGCAAATTACATTTTTAAAGCAGATCCCTAGAAGGGTGTGAGAACAGAAACAAAGTTATCAGTTTATAACCTCGCAACTAAGAAAACACAACGCGCCTTATCGATGGTTATTGCCGGAAGGACTTTTGGTGACCTGGCAAGACCGAAAGATAAAAATTGAAAATATACAGGATGCACAGGATTTCTGTGAAAACTTCTTTGGACCCACTGAAGGGGAAAGAGAGAAAGAAATAGATAAAAAGAATCAGAAAGATCAGAAAGAGGAGTGGAGAAATGAGAGAGGAACACAAGCATATCAAGGAAAGGGGAAACGAAATGGGAGGAAGGGGGAGGAAGGAGAAATAGAAGAATACGGGATTGAAAGTCGCTTAGCAGCTAAAATTAAAGAGACTAATAAATAGGGATGGACCAAGGAGTGAGACTATTGACAGTTAATGTCAATGGCCTCAATGCTCCGGCTAAGAGGAGACGTATATTAACCAAAATTGTGAAAATTAATATGGTTATTGTCTGTATGCAAGAAACGCACATTAAATTGTCACAGGCCAATTTACTGAAATGTCCTAAAGCAGGGAAATTGTTTGTAGCGGCCTCAGAGGAGAGAAAGAGAAGCGTTGCAATGTATGTAAAAGAGTATCTTTCCCCAAAACAACTTTTTGCGGATGAAGAGGGACAAATACTAATGTTAGAGGTGGAAATATCCCAGAGTAAAGTTTTACTGATAGGAATTTATGCTCCAAATTCAAAACATAAATTGTTCTTCCGGAAAATATCTTAAATGCTTATTTAAAGTGGACATGCTTCTGGTGCGAACGTCATGCTCCCTGGAAGGTTTGGTCGTTCTCTTAGAGTGAGCTGCCTGCAAACAACTGTTTTGAAACAGTTTTCAAAACTGTTTGAAAAAACTGTTTGATAATTTTGAAAAGATTTTCGAAGCCTGCCCTTCAGTTGTTTTCGAGTTTGGAAAAACATTTAACAGAGTAACAGACTGCCAGAGCTCCTGCTTTCTTCCCACGATCCTTTCCCTTCCTCAAGCGAAGCTGCTGCTCTGAGCCATTGGCTGAAATTGGGTTTTGTGAACTGATCCAGCTCCAAGTGTTTATCCTGCCTCACTAGAGGTAAACT